CGTTTTTCAAGACTCAGGCCAGCGACTTTACAGCGCTACTTGACAAACGTATAGGTTATGGTCGTTTGCGGTTGTCAGTGTACTTTTATAGTTGTTGCACTTTTGTAAAATACTTTTGGGAAATACTTTTGTGAAATACTTTTGCGAATTACTTTTGTAGTTGTGTACAAATATTTTTAAATAATATATTTTTTACAATTTTTACTAATAACAATTTAATATATTTTATAATTAGTAATTAATATTATTTAAATTAATATATATTGTACAACTGGATATGTCGAATTTGGGTGTAATAAATTTTAAATATATTTTTAGTTTTGTTAAAAACGACTTTTTAGTTTGAGGTTATGTTAATGGATATATAATATAAAAATAAATAAATTCGTGACAAAGTTTTTTCTTCGATTAAAAAAATAAATGTCAAAAATCTATAAAAAAACAAAGAATATTTTTATTGAAATTAACAGCAATATATAAATATAATTTAAATAATATTAATTACTAATTATAAAATATATTAAATTGTAATTAGTAAAAATTGTAAAAATATTTGTACACAATTACAAAAGTAATTCGCAAAAGTATTTCACAAAAGTATTTTACAAAAGTATTATACAAAAGTATTTTACAAAAGTGTTTTACAAAAGTATTTTACAAAAAAAAGAATTTCACAAAAGTTCAACAACTATAAAAGTACACTGACAACCGCAAACGACCATAACCTATACGTTTGTCAAGTAGCGCTGTAAAGTCGCTGGCCTGAGTCTTGAAAAACGGTCTAGATAAGACGAACTCGACTACGTCTATTGAAACGCTTCTTAGCGAATAGCAAGACCGACTAGTTTAGACGGGCTTGCCTATGACTGGAAAGACTATTTCTAGACGCTAGACTTCCACAAGATTTTTCCACACGGGTAATGCATAAATATAAAAACGAAACAAGAAAATAACTTCATTGTTAATAAATTTATATGAACTCAAATCTAAAACATCTATTATCTATACGCATATAAGTATACATTAAATAAATTCTGGTTCCTCATAAAATACTATTTTTAAATATTTAAAACTTAATTTGTTTTAAATTAGGCACGTAAGCTGATTTTAAAACCTATTGAGAAAAGTGTTATATTCATCTTAGGACCATAATCAAAAATAATTTTTAAGTGCCAATTCATTTTTATTTAAACCTCCTTCTGGCGCACCGTGAATTGTGAATTACATTATTGTACATTTTGAATTTTCAAAATCCGACATCACATTCGTAATTAGCGACCGGAAAAACTCTTATGATGAAGGTTTGATTAAATTCCAATAAAAAATTTCTTATCGCATTTTAGCTACTTTCTGTAAAATTATAGCCCCAGTCAAGAGGTTAATAAATGTAATATAACTTTTATAATTTTGAAAATTAATTTTGCGCAACTTAGATAATGATTTATCAATACCAAATAATGAAAATTACAAAAAAATATAAAATTCAAAGAAAAAATTAATTCAAAATCCAAAGTTGAAATGGTGCACTTTTAGAAGAATCTCCCAAATATATAGATATCGTGTTTAGTCGGTTTTCAAATGACATTATGTTGTACATATATTTAGCTGTCTCTCATAATTTTTTTTAAGCATTTTTATGAAAAATATTCCAATTTAGTAGTTATTGATCCTGGAGCTGTTTTGTTTGATTTTATAACTGCTGTGCAGTGTGAAGTCCACAAATTTGATCTGAAAGTAAAAAAATAATTATTATCTTATTAATTGAACTAACTTTTAAGTAAAAATAGAAAAAATGACAATGAGATTTTAATTTATAATTCTTTCAACTATTTTAATTTTATTTATTTAAATAATTGTATAAATTAAACTTCAGTTAATATAATGAATGTTTGATTAGAAAACACATTTATTGCAAAATTCTAGTCTCCTCTCGATCTCATTAATATGCCTAGCTTTTGGAACCACGCGTATTTACGCGATTATAGGGTATATACTTGAGGTTTAATTCAAACCCCGGGTCAAATTAATTCGAAACGATGTGTGAGCGAGTATAGATTCAGTGGCGCTAATAGTACACACTGCATTTCGAATCAGAAGATTAGCTTGCGCGCATTTTCATTATTAAACACGAAACGTTTCCATTTGTACTATATATATATATATATATATATAGTACGACTGTAAAAGTACATACAAAATTTAAGCCCATTTCAATTGGCACAGAGAATTTGCTCGCGCTTATTCCACAAAGTTGCTTGATGCGCTTTCAATTTCACCGAATTATATAAGTCCCTCATTCAGATATAAAAAAAATTTATTGGAATCAAATTATCTTTAATTATATAATTAAGTGACTGAAAGTTTCTGTATACCTAATAATCAAATCGCATTAACTGACACTCTACATTCAATAAAAAAAATAAAATTAAAAACCCTGTAATTTCTGTCAACGAGAGCGTGAGAAAGGTGAAAGTATATATATATAAGAATATTTCTCGACCGGAAGTGAAAAAGTTCGTTAAGACTGCAGGTGTATATATATATATATATATTGAAATCGCGAAAGGACGATCCTTGGAAGGAAAAAAAAAATTTGCCGTTATATACATGGCTCTGATTAAAGCAACGCGTGGCACTTTGCTGTAGTGATTGGGTGGGACGCGAAAAGCCGCTTGGGCACCTGTGCATCCTTAAACTGCACACACGATATATAATAAACTGACCGGGAGGCATAACCGGTAATAAATGTTTCGTGACTCGTAAAAATGTTATTACCTCTTGGGCGGCTTGATACCAAATAGATAGTTTATGAAAATGCCACACGGAGACAGTAACAAAAACGCGCAGCAAAAGCGACCAAATGTCTCCGTATCATGTTAGGATTCATTAGACGATTTATCGATAAAATAAATGTCAAATGGTTATAAATTTATAAAATTATATATCCCTTTTAGTTTTATATATCGTTTTATGTATATTTCGATAATGATAATATTATGCTTCCTGTTTTAAATTGAAATTTAAGTGTGAAATATGGATCAGCTGTTTTTTTACCGCCATGTTTGATCACGTGACTTTCGTCTGCTTTTTTTTTTGTCTCTATTTACTTTCTCCTCGCTTTTACCGTTTTTAATTATTTTCAAAATTATTATTTCTTAATTTTTTAGTTAATTTTTATTTTTAAATTATTTTGTAATTATTTTGTAATTATTTTTTAAATTATTATTTTTTATATATTAAAATTCTTTTTTAATATTTTACTGAAATTCTTCATAAAGTATTCTAATTCACTTTCTTAATGTAAAACTTTTGAAATGTGTCATCATTTTGCATAATATGACAATGAGATTATATAAAATATAAAACTTGCCTCCTGCGAATTATTGTCCAATTTTTTCACCAAATTTTACAAGAGATAGAAGACAAAATATATTCCAGTTTATGGTGCGTATATGCTTCGTATCTGTATAAAGACACATGGCTTTTAGGGGAATGGTTCATTTGTCTCTATATATTAATCCCCATATAAAATTCCAAATACCCAAGTGTATCAAAATTTTATTTTTAATTTTTTTTTTCTTCATTCCCAAAAATCAAAATTGATGTCATTTAGAAAAAAAATTCTATATTTACCATTTTTTTTGTAAATTTGCTTTTTATATTTCCGTCAACTGGGCCTATTTTGGCATCCCAGGGGCTATTATGAACAACACCAGTTTTTAATAAATAAAATCTTTGTTTTCAAATATTTGAGTTTGTCGCTTTAGGTAAATATTGTCTGATTGTTTTTTTTTACAGAGGGCACTAAATATAATTATTTAATTTTTTGACATAAAGCAGAAAGAATTTGTATAGTTGTTCATAATAGCCCCAACCGTAGAAGCTGACAATAATAGCCCCAGTTGACGGATTTGCAAAATTTTAAAATAATTTAATTTTTATTAATTATTTTCCTATAAGCGTATATTTAAATTTTTACACAAAAAATTTTATTACAAAAATCAAGTTGACATTTAACAATTTTTCTATATATTTCAAAAATTTCAAAATTCCATGCCTTATAATATTTTAAAAATTGACAGTTTTTGTTTGAGATTTGAAAAACAGAACAAAAAAGCATATTTCTTCTTGTAATTTGTTTGCTATATGTATATATTTTAGATTTTGTTTTGTGTGGAAATTTATATATATATATATATTGTACCAGACAAAAGTTTAGAGAGCGTGCATTTTGTTCGACTCGGCGCGGTAAAATTGGACGCCTCCCAGGGGGTTAATTTCACAGAGACGAAGGGTGGAAAATATTCACGGTTCCTTAAAATCCGTAGATCTCCCTTTCCTTATACTCGCAGGTCCTTCCTTTCGTCTCTAGGGTGGTGTTATACCAAGCGGTCACTCAAAATATTAAACTATTATTTTAGCATGACTATGTGTATAGCCTCAGGATATTCTAAACTTGATTTTATATATATATATATATATGTTTTCTGCTTCGATATAAAAACATCTTTCATTAAAAAAATTTTGCAAATAATTTTTTAAGAAACTTTGAAAAAAATAATTCCTTTAATTCAAATTTAACAAAAAAAATTTATTTAGATTTAAGATATTTTTTATTTATATATCTAAAAAAATATATATATAGTTGATTCAAATAAAAATTAAATCTGATTTCATATTTGTAATTAGAGACTCCAAAAAATCCCTATTAACAAGTTTTCAGCTAAAATTTATTTTTTACTTTTTCGTCCGCCATATTGGATCCGCCATTTTGAAATTTGACGTGTTGTGGAAAATATAACGATAAATTTGAATTCAACGTTAAAAAAAATACGTTAAGAAATGTTCTTACTTTTCCGGGTCCAAAATTTGTTTCCCTTTATTTGATTTGGATCAAAATAATTTTTATTTGATCCAAATAGTTTTTATTTGACCAAAAACAAATTTTTTCCCATGTATTAAAAATTAATAAAAAAAAAAAAATTTCTATTTATTTTCAGTCCATCAGATGCACTGTCAAAGGATGTTCATGCGACTCGTTTGTACCAGGGAAACATTATTTGCGCTGCTGCGACAAATGCCATCATGGATGGGTTCTACATGGTGAGTTTTTTTTTGACAATTTTTTATAAAAATTTTCATCTTCCACTTGGTAACTGAAATCTTTGATTTGGAAAAAAAATGTTTGATCATCGACGAGTATAAAATCTGCATCTAAAGTAATATAGTGCGTTTATATTCATATGCGGTAAAAAAAAAGAAACATTTTCCAAGTGTCAGCATACTTCATCCCAAAATACTTAGAGCTGTCCTAAGGGATAGGATTCAATTTTCCATCGATGACCAGTGCCATTCCCTATAGTCTCGAGGCATTCTATATTCGATACGATATAAGCCATAAGACTGCGGACTTTATGCGGTCATAAGTTTTAGAATGTATATAGAAGCAATTTTTATTCGCGATACTTCAATAGACACACGGGAAAATATATACTGGGTGTTAAAAAATAAAATTTACTACATCTACTAATTCCATTAGTTGCGCGAATTTTTTTTTTTTTTGAATTTGAATATTTATCTAATGGAACACAAAAAAAAAATCTGGACTCATTTTTGTTGCAGTTCAAAATGAGCATGTTGCAAGTGGCGCCACCTACTTGATAATAACCCTTAACTGGCACCATGGGTCCCGTAGACCCGAGCATTTTTCGACATTTACATTCAAATTGTGCCACTTAAGGGTTAATTTAATTTATAAAATAATTCCTAAAATCATAAATAAGGTATAATTTTGATTTCGGTTTTAATTTTGTCGTTCAAAAAAAAAGTTGGAAACAAAAGAGTAAAAATCAAGGTTTTCTAATATATTAAAAAAAAAGTCACCCTGTAGAGACTTTGAATTTGCAGAGGCAGAGAATAAAAGGTATATATCAAACACACAAGAGAGGATCGAGTAAAAGCGTCCATGAACGTATTGCGTTTAAAATTCCGCCTGCTTGACCCGCGATAGATTGGAGGCAGCGTGGAATACATATCAATTTCGTCCGGCAATGTCCCTTGGGAAGAACTTTTCTGTTCTGGCTGCATTTTTCCTCTCTTCTAACCTTCATTTTTTTTTTTGCTCCTTCTTTGCGCTCGCGTTTATTACAATAGCCACCGGGCAAACGAACTTTAAATATATATTGTCCATTATTTCTGTTCCTGTACATACGTCAAAATTGTATAAGCATCATATCTAATTACAATCATTTTTTTTTTTCAATAATCTTTTGTATTTTCTAATTATATCGATAATCAATAATTATATTTGGTAAAAAATTGAAAATTTACAACTCAATACGAGATGGGAATTTTCCGCATTAAATGGATTATTCTGATAGTTTACAGATGCTTGCGCGTTGTTTTGTAGTTCGACAAATTGTTCGTAGATGGCGCTTACAAATAAGTCACTTTATCCAAACTTGATGTTTTGATATACAATATATGTCCAGGAAGTTAGATTAGTAAATTTAAAAATTTCAAAAAAACAAATATTGTACTAAATTGTACTCGACTTGTGCTCATTTGTAATAAAATTCATTTTTAGGGAAACTCAAAATTCCGGGCAAAAAAACCCAAAAAACATTTACAAATTTAAAAATTTAATGTTTTCAAAAAAAAAATATTATACTGAATTGTATTTGACTTGTGCTCATTTGTACTAGAATTCGTTTTTGAAAAATCTCAAAATTCCGGGCAAAAAAATCGAAATTTTTTTTTTAATATGTCTAAGTTTAAACTTTTCAAAAAACAAAAAGAGCACAATAAGTCGAACACAATTCAGCAGAAAATTAGGTTTTTTGAAAAGTTTTAATCTTATAGACGTTTAAAAAAAGTTTTTTTTTTGACTTTTTTGCCCGGAATATTAAGTTTTTCAAAAACTGAATTTCTTTACAAAACAGCACTTGTTGAGCACAATTCCAACAAAATGTTTGTTCTTTTTAAATTCTAAACTTAATAGTCGTGTAAAAAAAGTTTTTTTTATGTTTTTGCCCGGAATTTTGAGTTTTTCAAAAATTGAAATTTTTCACAAAATAGTATATGTACTTGTTAAGCACAATTCAGCACAATATATTTTTTTTAAAGTTTAACTTTTTAAATTTACAAATATTTTTTTGCCCGGAATTTTGAGTTTTTCCAAAAATGAATTTATGCAAAAAAGAGCACAACTCGGCACAAAATTTGTTTTTTTTTTTTTAAAAAAAGTTTAAACGTAAACGAATAAAAAAATTTTTTCGTTTTTTTCCCCTGAATTTTGTGCTTTTCAAAAAATGAATTTTAGTACAAATTTACATAAGTTTTTTTATTTTTTTGCCCGGAATTTTGAGTTTTTCGAAAAATGAATTTTAGTACAAATGAGCACAAGTCGAGCACAATTTAGCACAATATTTTTTTTTTTTTTTGAAAATTTTAACTTTACTGGTCTAACTTTCTGGACATATAATTTTTGAAAAAATAACAAATAAATTGAAAAAAATTTGTAAGAACTTTTTTTTTTGCTTCTTTTACGTATATATAGATATACGTAAATATTGATGTTTAGGTTTAGGATCTGATATTCGTGGTTGCTGCACGCCTGGTTGATTTTCGAACTCGACAGAGCGCAACCACCAATAGCCAGTGGCGCATTGTGTATATAGACTACCGATTCGGTAGCGGAAGTAGCTCAAAACCATCATCGACACGCCTTTCTAAACTGCGAGATTTTTCAAACCCAAAAAAAGCGAATATTAAAGAAAAAAAATTTATTTTTCTTTTCTCCATCTATTGTGTGCGTTTATCCTGTTTAAAAATTGTATTTAAAAATTTTTCGATTCTCTGATTCTATTGGGCTTAAAACAATTTTAAAAAAAAGTTTTGCAAAATGGGATTTTTTATGGATTCCAACACTGGAAACCACTCTGTGTGTTTTATAAAATTTAATTTCAATTTCCATGAGTATTCCACCGTCCGACATAATTTTTGACCCACAAAAAAATTTAACATTTTCGGAAACTAGGACCCAAAAAAAAATACCCGTATCTGGCCGTTTTGCTAGATTAAGTCGTTTGTGGTTATTAGGGGTGAAAGCAACCCCTAAATGAAAAGTGACAAGATATCTTTTAAAAATTATTAATATTTTATAAAACTTGGTATCTGGGGGTTTTCGGGGTTACTGATTATTAATCTGATGTCAGATTTTCAAAATTCAAAATGACGGATCCAATATGGCGATCAAATTTTTAAAAAGTTATTAATTTTTTATTTTATATCCGCCATTTTGAATTTTGGAAATTTAACATCAGATTCGTCATCAGCGACCCAAAAAACCCCTAGATACGAAGGTTTAAAAAAAATTTAATAACTTTTTAAAATTTTGACGGCCATATTGAATCCGCCATTTTGAATTTTGAAAATCTGACATTAGATTAATAATCAGTGACCCCGAAAACTCCCAGATACCAAGTTTTATAAAATATTAATAATTTTTAAAAGATATCTTGTCACTTTTTATTTAGGGGCTGTTTTCTTTCCTAAAAACCACAAAAGACTTGATCTAGCTAAACAGACAGAAACGGGTATTTTTTTTGGGTCCTAGTTTCCGAAAATGTTGAATTTTTTTGTGGGTCATAAAAAAAGTTGAATTTTGTCGGACGGTGTTCTATATAGTATTTTGGATCATAAAAACTGAATTTGATGTTCGATTTAAGAAATTCAAAATGGCGGATCCAATATGGCGACCAAAAATTTTTTAAAATTATCTAGATTCGCTTGATACTTAATACTTGAGGGTTTTTTTTGGAGTCACTGAATCTGAATTTGGTGTCAGTTTTTGAAAATTCAAAATGGCGGATCCAATATCTTGTCTAAAGTTTTAAAATTGTACGAAATTGAATTTTGTAATTTACCTAAATTTATTATGTGAATGTTCAATGTTCAAGCCAATTTAGACCATTTTTAAACTTTTTGGTCGCCATATTGGAACCGCCATTTTGAATTTTTTAAATCTGACATCAAATTCAAATTTAGCGATTCAAAATACTATAAAATACTTATGGAAATTTGAAATTAAATTTAATTTAGTTCGTTTTTCTAATGTAGTATATTAAATTTACATGGTAAAAATACGAAAAATTAGTTTTTTAAAAAAAACTGTCCGATGGATTATTTTAATTTTTGTTGCAAAAGACTGAGGGATGTCTCCAGTGTTGGAATCCACAGAAAAATCCCATTTCGCAAAACTTAAAAAAAAAATTGGTTTAAGCCCACAGTGCCTAATATAAAAACTGTTCAGACAGAATTTAATTCTTTTTTTAATCTTAATTTTGACATATTTAGTTATCAACTAAAAAGTAATTTAGATTTTAAAAATTCAAAATGGCGGATCCAATATGGCGGACTTTTTTTGAAAAATCGTTTGGATTTACTTGATACTCTCTACTCGGGGGTTTTTGGGGTCGCTGAAAATGAATCCAGCGTCAGTTTTTCAAAATTCAAAATGGCGGATGCAACATGGCGGACAAATATTTAAAATCACTGGAAACTACTTAATTCAGACGAATATATTAAGTTTTTTCAAAAGTCGTCCGCCATATTGAATCCGCCAATTTGACTTTTAAAAAACTGACCTCGGATTCGTAATCAGCGACCCCGAAAACCCGCAAGTAAAGAATTTTACAAGGATGAATAAAAGGTATCGGTTTAATTAGTAATTTGTATATATATAATTTGTTTATAAAAAATTAAAAATTTGTAATTTTGTAATTGAGATTTGTTTTTACAACTAATCGAATAGAAAATTAGGAATAAAAAAAAGTGATTTATAAATGAGCCAAAAATTCTAAATTCTCTAAATCTCATAGTTTCGAAAAGGTATATAGATTGAGATTTTTAAAAATTCATTTTAGAAGTTCAGTGCAATAAAAATTTTAAGACTTTTGAAGAAATTTCAAAATATGATTAATGGTCTATATTCGAAGAAATCTTTCTAAAAGAGGGGAAAAAAGTGTCGTTTTGCGTTTAGTAAAAGAAAAATAAAAATCTACTTCTTTTTGGAATATTGTTGGAACATATATATATATATA